TTAAAGATATCTTAGATTTATAAGTAGCTGTATATGTAACTTGCCGCACATCTAAAATATTGGATAGTATGGGACGATTTATGAGTGTGTAGCTTAATCGCAGGTTTAAACGCTGACATGAATCACCAAAGCTGTTCTATTGTACTCTCTTTGCTGAAGCGTGTATATGATTTTATACAACTGTTTATGCTTTTAAAGTTACAAATCTCAACCTCTGTTTCTCATGCTCCGTTTACGCTGCATCTTTGCCATGTGATAATTAGAGATGAACCAACACAAATAAAGATAATCTTTAAGGGAGTAGTGTGCCTCCAATCTGATGGACTATAATCATGGCAGGTCCAAATCGAACTAAGCTTTGTTTGCTCATGGTCAATTGGAGGCTCTCTCAGAGCAATGAGGAAAAAACGCAACGTTTGAGCAATAATAATAATATAAAAGTAGTAATTCTTGCATTTGATATAGCACCTTATCTGCCTGTTGAGACGTCTCAAAGTGCTTTATGGAATATACTGTAGAGTGACTGTATATTTTGTGGGCAAAACGTGGCAGCTAATTGCGCACAGCAATGTCCCACAAACAGTCGTGGATTGAGTGACCAAATTTTTCTTCCTTTTTTCATAAAGGAGATGTGAACTCCCATTGGTTGTGAGAAGTCACACCCAAACACTGGCTTCTCTCTCTCTCTATGAATTAGAACAGGTTTCCAGGAAGTGTGGTTGAGGCTAAGATACTGAATTGATGTAGAAAACAGCTTGATGCTGTGATGGGAGGTTATACATAGACATAGAAACAGGAGTGGGCTATTCAGCCCCTCGAGCCTGTTCCGCCGTTCTATAAGATCATGGCTGATCTGTACCTCAAGTCCAGTTTCCTGCCCTTGCCCTGTAACCCTTGATACCCTGACCTAACAAATAGCTATCTACCTCCATCTTGAAAATGTGAAGGTTGATAAGGTTGTTATCTGGAAGGATAAGATCAAATGGACCGAAGTTCATTCATGGTGTTCATTTAAATCGTTCCTATGATGGATGGTGCTCTGTCCTAGGAGTTTTACAAAGCTAATAGAGTTCAGTCACCAAGATATAGAGTGGTGTTAGCTTTTGAATGGGTTTGAATGCTATATGATGTGGAGCAGGCAGTATAAATCATAGTTTCTACTCTACAGCAATCTACTGCTGTGAGCGATACTGCTTCCGAGCAGTATAAAAGCGGTATTACTGATGTCATAGCAATTTTCTGTCTTAGTGCTGCGATGTTTCAAAGACGGTATTAACCTCCTTTGTGATTCATTGCCGCAGTATCATCAGGAAATTATTAGAGAAGATTACAGGTCAATTTTATGTACAGTAGATAATCAAGTGCTCTAATGAATCCCTTCAGTCCTGAAAGCTCATTGTGGCACTCACTAAAATGATTTATTTTTGCAAATATAAATATTTTAAACCGGAGAAGCAGATGAAAACTATTTCCCTGGGTTTATTCAAAGGCTTAAGGAAGTCTTACGTGTAACTTTGACTAAATCTGTCTTTAGTGTTGCGGGAAAGGAAAATCAACCAAGTATCGCACTTGAAGCCTTTCAACGACTCTGATAAAGGCGGACTTCAGAAGATAATCCCTTTCACAAACTCAGCACCACCCCCACCCTCCCAGCAGTCAAATAGTTTACCAGGTGTCAATATTCATGGTTGTAAATCACACCTGAAAAATGACAACTTGCGTGTGAGGCACTGAAGAACTACTTGCAGGTCACACAATCTCAGGCAAACCAGTCACTGGAGGCAGGGAGTCGTCCCACTCAGCTCCTGTTAACCCTGCAAGCCAAAGCCCTAACGGGTAGAGTGGACAAGCATCGGGAAAGCTTGCCAGACAGCAATATCAATGGCAAGCTATGCGTTTTTTGCTGGTTAGACTCTCGCAGTTACCCCAACGTACACTCTGGGCAACGCAGAAGCCTTGGCTCTTGCCAACCTGCACCTAATGCCATATGACATCCACAGTCAATTCGGAACGTTGCCTCCTCAACGAAGTCTCTGTGGGGAATGGTCAGACAAGATCTGTCCGTCTGAATCTCTGCTGACTGTCAGTCAGCAGATTTTTATATGAGTAAATTTGTTTTCCTTCTGATGATTGACTCCGTATGTTTTCAATTACTGCTTTCAGACATGACAATGCTTTCAGGAGAGGAAGAAGTACGGGAGAACTGATGGGGAACAAAAAGGGGTTTAGAAATGCTGAAGTAGGTCCTCAATAGGTTATTTATAACTTACAATCTACGACTGTTTGTGGGGACGCTGCTGTGCGCAATTGGCTGCCGCGTTCGCCCACAAATATACAGTCAATTCACTTTACAGTATATTCTGTGAAGCGCTTTGGGACGTCTAGAAAGACGTGAAAAGCGCTATATCAAACGCAAGGATTATTATTATTATTTGAATTCAGTTGAAAATAGGCAAAGACGTAGAGCTTCCTCTGGCGTTCATTGCCTGTAACTACAAGTCAAGGGAACCAGGAACAGCTGTCACGACAAAGTAAATGAAAACCTTTCACAAGATTAGTTTGGATGAAGAAGGCCCTTCGGCCCATTTAATTTTATCTTACCAGAACACCATCCTTCCATCACTGCATCAAGCTTCAGATGGGAAGTTAAACCGAAGTCCCACCTGCCTGTTCGGGTGAATTTTAAAGATCCCACTATTCGAAAAGAGAAGGGAGTTTCGCCGGGTGTCCTGACCGACAATCCCCCAAATGAAATTGGTCACTCATTCTATGGCTGTTTTTGCGACATTGCCTCGCGCAACTGGCTGCCATGTTTCGCCCGCAAAATGCACAGTCAATTCACTTTACAGTATATTCTGCGAAGCGCTTTGAGACGTCTCGAAGCAGAAGGCTCTCTATCAAATGCAAGGATTATTATTATTTTGACCCTAAACATACAGTGTGTGCTGCCCATCTGTCTACAATCACTCACTGCAAACAAGTTATTCTAAACACCTACAAGTCTCCGTCAACTGGTCAACCTTGAACGATTCCATGGGCTCTCCATCCTAACTCTCGTCTCCAACCTTCCTCTTGTAATGACTCTCATTCTCCAGCCATCTGTCGGACAAGCTGCCCATTTCTAATGAGCCTGAAACGGGCCTGGGAAGCGCTTTAAGAGGTCTCGAAGACGTGATAAAGCGCTATATCAAATGCAACCATCACTGTTATTATTATTGCTTTAAAGGGAAGTAGCTGGACACATAATGGGGGTCTGAGAATCAGCGCTTACTAATGTCTTCTATTCTTTAAAACCACAGCTTATCTGGGAACAGGCATTGCGACGTAACCTGGAGTTCAACATCGGTGACAACCGTAGCAAGTTATTTTCATTTAGTCACCGCAGCAGAAATGCACCAGTGGTGCTGATCAATTTCTATTTCTAGACTGCCTCTATCCAGAAATGTTAAAAGAATAATTACGCAAGACACTCGTACAACTGGAGATTTCTATGACAACACTTGGAAGAGATTATGGGGCAGTTCACTCGAACGCCATTCCCCTTTTGAATGTTTTGCTGTGGTAGACATAAAATTGATTGCAGCTCCCACCCGCAGAAGTCTCGTTCGAGTGCTGCGTGCGGGAGAGCCATCGTTGCGTATCTACCGTTATATCGATAAGACAACGAGCGGCCTTCTTGGCCCTGGTGTTAATTTCTTGTGTTTTTTTTTAAATCTGGGAAATTTAAAAATGTTGTGCGTTCGAAGTTCATGATACTACCGCACACACCACTGAGGACCCAATCTCAGCTGTGCCGTTCTGGGGAGCGGTTGATAAACGAGTTCGGTGGCTTCGTTTCAAAAAAGAAAAGCAATCAAGTGGAAGTCATTCCAGTATTGCTCCCACACAGCGCGACGGGTTCCACTGAAATAGCTATTCTGCTCTTCCACTCAGCTGTGAAACTGCCCAACATTCAAACGTTGTAAACTTGGCAAACTATTACCGTTCCCATCACATCTGAGTTTGTAAATTCAGTGCTGTGAACTCGGTTGCACTCGTCACACCTGGGTGAGCACACCCCACTGTTCACCCTCAACAAAACAATGGAATTCTTTCACTTTTATTCTGCAAACTCTTTAAAAAAACGATAAGAGTCTTTAAAATGCAAGAATTCTCCGTTCCGCAAAAATTGCACGCAAATCGATTAAACTCTGCTGCAAATGGTAAACAAGTTCCTACATGTTGCACCTGGAAATTGGGAATGTAGTACCGAGACTGACTTCGCTTCGGCTCCCGTTCAGTCACAGCTGTGTTCTTCATTGCTCAAGTAACAATACCGGGTATTGATCGATTACTCAATTTGTTGGGAGCCACAGCAACTCTTTTGTATTGAAAATTTCAAATGTTAATGTAGTTTTATTCCAGGACTGTTTGTGGGACTCTGCTGAGCACAATTGGCTGCCGTGTTTCACCCACATAATACAGTCACTCCACTTCACAGTATATCATGTGAAGAACTTTTGAGATTATTATTATTTGTGATATTTAAATTGCAGCTCCCCAGCTGAACACACTGTCCAGAATTAAGTGTTTATAACAATAATAATTCCACATCGATTGACTTTTATATAAACAGAACAACACTGCTGGCGAGAACCTGACTTCAAGATCCTCTAAAACTATAATACGTAATTAATATCTCATTTAAAATCCTTGTATTTGGCATATGGCCTATAATATCAAAACACTACTAATAAACAGTATTTTTCACTTACGAGGTCATAAGTTTGTAATTAATAGCAATTCAGCGTTGACTTTAGAATGCACAAATGCATTTATAAATCAGTTATACAGTCGTCATTTGCAGCTCTGTACTTTGAAAGTGGACGTTGATGCTGCAGCTATAGAAAATACATACTGAAATGAGTCAAACACTTGTGTGGCAGTCCACTGGAAATATCGACATCCAGAAGAACGATTCAAAATACGTTTAAATGTCATTGCATATTAATAGGCCAGACTAGAGCTTGCTGAAAGTTTATTTGAATGGTACAGATAGCAATAAAGAGCAATTCACGAAAGCCAAACTCTTACAGATTACAGAAATATGTACAGACTTATGGATCAAGGCCATGCCTTCCCCAAGATAGTGAGCACCGCCACAGATGTTTCAGAAATGTTGCTGAATTCTCCAGTGAAATAATAGACTGATTGTCACCGAAAAGACTGAGATGCTTGTCGAAATTAACCAAACCATCGAAAACAACTTTAAAGGTAGTACTCGAATAACAGCTGCTGATAGAAAAAGATTAACATGTGTAATATTACACTAATAATAGCACATTTATAAAAGTACTAAAAGGCACCATTTTTGAAAATATTTCCACATAAACGTTAACTTGGCAGTTTTTTTTTTAGTCGGTTGTAACTTGAGGTATTTAGCGATGTAGAAATTCTCAAATTCCTGCATTGAAATTGTTAACTGATTTTACATGTTGCTTAGGATGTCGACAAGCCATTGTAATTTCTAGTAATGCCACAAATGACAACCTTGGTCTGAATTAAGGGCAGGAAGAAGTAAAAGCATACATGGCTGGATCATTTTCATTTGAAAATCAATTCCACAGTTTTGCAGATATGATTTTGTTTGCATTACAGCTCATTTATAATAGGTTCAAAGTGTGTATTTATAATATCCCAGTGTATAGACGTTACAGTATTCCAAATATACAGTCGTGTGAAGTAATGGTAATTGTAATATTCTAGTATTTTGCAACTATGGTCTATGTACTTGTCCCCTCGCCTCCCGCAAAAAAAATATGGTAGCCTATATAATATGGGACATCCTCGCGATGGGAAAGGTGCTATTTAAATGTAACTTTGTTTTTAAACACTGAGGAGTGGAAATATCTCTTTTTTTTCAGCCGTGACTCTCAATTCTGAAAGTAATTAGAATTTTTGTTGGCTTCCTTGCAATTCTGCTTTCAACCAAATCAAATCCAGCCTTCAGTACTTCAGAAATAGTCTCACCTGCCAAGATTATTTTATTTGAAAGACAACAGCATTCGGGTGGGGGTTGAAACAAATGGTAAAAGAAAAAAAAGGATGCGTGTCCAAATACTGCATATCCAAATCCATGTGAATTTCAAATGCTGTTTACGTTTCCGTTTAACAATTTAACATTTTGTACAAGTCAATAGGATTCAGTCAAGACAGAAGAACAGAATTTTAATGCAGACATGTACCCTACATAGCAGCTTCAGTAATATTTAAAATGTACTCCTCCTGGAATGTTCTATTGTAATCGGGTTGACGTATTCTACTTTTGTTCCTTGCCTAATGCTAGACAACGGCACCGACCCACACTTAAAATCAGGAACAGTAACTTAGGCGAACGTGCGTACACTCATTTTGAGATATTTGATCCTTTATACTTAAGTTTAATTGGCAGAATACTCACTAAAGCTTTGGTAAAAATAGAATGCATATGAAACAAATTATATCAGTTCACAGCTTATGAAACAAACAGGGCAAACTGTTTAAAAAAAAACAACTTCTAGTACATACAAAAACCACTGCACCACAACACACATCCTAATAGAGCTTTAGTTGGAATCAAAACTTGAGAATTTCACTAAATCTGTAAATTGGATACAGACGGAGTATAATACTAAAGCGCCCCCGTACGCTCCTGCTTTAAGAGAATGATTTTATAGAGCACCATTACATTTTTACCATATTGCTACAGGTCACTTGGTTAAAACAAATTGTTAATTTTCTTTTTTTTCTCCAAATCCCTCTCCTGAAGTCACCAACTCTTGGCTGGGATACAGATCCACTGCTACTAATTGTGCTTACTGTCTCGCCGAAATGAGAATTCATTGCACGTGTGTTGAGGCTATGACTGGGGGTGGGCGGAGTTGGCTTGCCACAGCCAAAGTCTGATCTTCGGCAACATTCAGACAAAAACACCTTCAGTCAGTGGATAATTGGGAGCACAATTACTGAACCTCCCGAGCACCAAGAGGCAAATAAGCCAACTGTAGTGCAGTGTTCATCCTTGTTGATGTGGCTGAGATAAGCTAACTTGGTGCTGGCCAGGGTTTGAACGTACAACCTTCAGTATGGCTTAGTGCAGCACAGCAGGTGAAGGAAGCTTCACTGCAAGAGGTTACCTGGTGGCCCATTATCAATAAAATTAGTTTAAAATATACATGGGACATATCGCTGGATCATAATTTCGGCAGTTCGGTATTAAGTGGTTTTGTACAAAAACTTGCAGGGTTTGAAATAGATACAAGAGAAAATCCAATGTATAAAAACAGTTGTATAAATTCTGTTAAATTAATCAACTAACATTTTCACTGCTTGAGAGACATTTTAAAATTGGTCGTGAATATATAGTAATGCTATAATAGAGGTCTTCTATTGGGTGCAGTGTAATAGGAAGAATTTGGTGAACAATATTTTATTTGCCATTTTCTCCTTGCTTGCATCAATATGGAATAATAAGGATTGTGACAATAGGACTAACAGAAAACTATGTGATCCTTTCTTTTCAGAATTAGTGATGGGCCACAGACAAAAATAGGACTTATTTTGGTCCATCACCTCTACCTTCCTACCACCTCTCTCTCTCCTGAAGTGTTGACTTGTGCTGGATTAAATTCCCCCAGGATTTGCTTCCGTCCAACACCTCATGCTTGAAGAATCCCTCCTAAACTCAACCCTATTTCAAAAACAGCTACACAATTGGGGGGGGGGGGGGGGGAAGAAAGGATTATTAGAGAGAGATCAAAAGCACGAACAATGGTGGATTTTCTGTGATCAATTCCCTTGGCAAAGTTATTGATTTTGTTTTTTAAAGAGCTAGTACTATGTGCTACCTTGTTTCTGATTTCCATTGTAATGAGCAGTGGAACCCAACACTTGTATTGGAAAAACAAGGCAATGAAACAAAGGTATGCTCCAAGAAGACTCTCATAAATTTAAACTCCTAAAAAGTGGCATTAAAAAGTTCATTTTGGGAATCATTACGTTTCTTTCACTTCCTTGGTTTATTTAGTTTGACCAACGTTGCTTCCATTAAGCAAGATATACTGACACTTGAGTAATTGGCCCGAACAATTGACTTTAAGTGACAGGGTTCAAGTAACCACAAACTTAAAAACACTCCTATCAAAATTGGCACAAATGACAATTATACACGACTATTTGATACGGCTTGAATATTTGCCTATGGCCCACTTTTTTTAAAAAAATTATAAGTTTGCAGTGGACTAGTTCCACAGACAATTATAAGCCACATACATTTTCTGTACAGACTAGATATGACTTTCATACACTACACTCTCCATTTTATTTGCTGTGTGCATCTTGGGCAAATTATCATCACCGTGTTCAAATTGGCTGCTTTCGTGGGACAGGGTATCAATGCTCATTTTTTCTGACTGAGAATGTACAGACACCTGAACGGCAATTTCCTGGCAATCCTCGTGCATGAAGGAGTCATCGGACTCTCCCGCTGGTGAACTGCTGCGTTGCATTTCAGATTCAATAGTGTAAACCTCATCGTTACCGCCGATCGCTTGTCCTCGTTTGTTTTCTTCGGCCATGGCCTGTTCGGCTTCCTCCATCCGGACAGCTTCGATGATCTCCTCCACGAAGGCTCTGCAGTTCAGGATAAGCGGCGGCAAGGGAATGCTGCGAGCAAGTTCTTCGATGTATCTGGCGAACTCCATCGTCTTAAACTGAGTGACTTTGGCCAACTCGAGCGTCTTTGCAGACGTGATGATGGGAATGCGTTTCGCAATTTCAAACGCTTTCTGTAACTTCTCTGCTCCTTCCATCCTGAAGAACTCGTTGATGGCTTTTTCGGTTTTCCTGAGGTGGCTGCTCATCATACAGAGGCGGGTGATGTTCAAAATCATAACGATAGTAAATGCAATGAGGCAAATGATCATGTAATAAATACCCATGTCTCCTGTGGTGAAGACAACACGTAAGGTGATGGTGTAGTTCAAAGTGCCGTGAGTGTTCGTGGCCACACATGTGTACCGACCTCGATCGGCAAAGGTAATACTGGTGATGTTCAGCTCTCCACTGTCCAAAATCAGCCATTTTCCACCTGTAACAACAAAGAACAGACAAGTCAAAATTGATTCAAAGGATCACAGATTTTGTAAGGCTAAGACTTTGTTCAAATTATTTGAATGGCTTAAAACTACATTCTTTTCGAGGATTATTGGAATTTTTTTTAGATGTTTGAAATCTGCCATGCCAATAAGTGGACTCTTCCTTCTTTAAAACCCAATCATTGCTTTTTATTTATTTTGCATCCAATGTTTTTGTATTGTAAATTGTGGCCCCTCGAGCAGCTTCTAACATTTTTGCCTGATATTTCTAGAGGATGAGTAAAAAATTCATTTTTGCTTTTAAAAGAATGGCAGCTTAACTTTTCTCTGTACATTTTAACACCCAAAAATTTCCAGACCTGTAAAATGTTCTCCCATTGTTGAAAAGAACAAAAGGAAGTTAGGTAACGATGGCATAGGTTTACATGAACTGGGAGCGCTTGACTTAAAAACTGGGAACAATAAGCCATTTCATTCCCAAATAACGTCCCTCTCCTTCAAAAGCACCAGTCTCCACTTGTGCAAAAGTAACATTTTCACACAATACCATATGCACACTTTAAAAGTAACAAGTTTCCATTAAGCAAGGTACTATAGAATTTCCTCTCAAGTTGAGTGACCTGGCATGGTAGCCATTTACCTCCATCTCTGCTTTCCTTGAGTAGATTTCCTTTCGAGTTGTACCACAGAATATCGTGGAACTGGCTGCCATTTACACTGCATTCTATTAACACACTGGTTCCTTCCTTCACTATTAGGTCATGGTGTGCTGCTGAGTTTGTATGAAAACGAGGTACAGAACTGATCCTTTCTGTAATGATGAAACTGTCATTTGCCCCATTATCTAGTGTGCAAACAACAAGAGTGCAGCAAATAAAAAGCAAAGTTAGCACTAAACAGGACTTCATTGAAAGGCAAGGAGATTGTCAGTTTTCAAGGCAGAACAAGTCTAGTTACTAGTGGGAATCTAAGGTAATGTGATGCAGCATGCCTATTGTGCGTTCTGGTAAGAGATTTAAATCATTTAGTTCATAAAGTCAAGTTTGCATTGTCCATATCCAAGGAGAAAGTCAACTTTCCAATCCTCACTTGTAAATCCAAGGTCAATCAAAACCTGTAATCAGAAAGGTAGAAATCTGGGTATCAATTTGCATGACAATAATAAATGATCCACACTGCAGAACATATTCTCACAAACTGATCAAACAATCAGATTGTGGCGTACTGTAGCGTACTGGTTAGGGCACTCGCCTCGCAAGCGAGAGGGTCTGGGTTTGATTCCCAGCGGGGAGAAACCGAAGGCAAGTTTCCTTACTCCACACACCTCTGCTTACCAAGCAGCAAGTAGGAACTGGTCGTTAGTCGATTTGCGGATCGCTTTTCCGGGGGTACTGCTGTGTGCAATTGGCTGCCACGTTTCGCCCACAAAATAAGTATATTCCGTGATGTGCTTTTGAGACGGTCGTCTCAACGATGTAGGAGGGAGGCGCTGCCCTTTAGAACAAAGTCCCATCTGCCCATTCGAGTGGACGTTAAAAATCCCCCGACATGATCCGAAAATAAAAGGGAGTTCCTCTCCCAACAATGCCCCAGAGCACTTGGCGGTGACAGAGCTCGACACCGAGCTGGGGGACGGGACTGGGGGTAAGGTGACCGTGGGCACGGTCAAGAGGAAGGTCTTCAGGTACGACCTGAAGATGGCGGTGGGGGGGGGGGAAGGAAGGGGCAAGTCGGAGGGATAAGAGGGGGCATTGTCATGGATTGGGTGACCAAGTTATGATGAATTAATTATTATTGCACTCCTGGGACGGACCACCACTGTTTCTCTGGTGATTTATTGTTAATAAACAAACAATCCGCAGAGTGAGAGCGAGTGTGTGTGTGTGGGGGGGGGGGGGGGGGGGGGGGTGGGTGTGTGTGTGTGTGTGTGGGTGTGTGTGGGGGGGGGGTGTGTGTGGGTGTGTGTGTGGGTGTGTGTGGGGGGGGTGTGTGTATGTGGGGTGTGTGTGTGTGGGTGTGTGTGTGTGTGTGGGTGTGTGTGTGTGGGTGTGTGTGGGGGGGGGGGGGTGTATGTGGGGTGTGTGTGTGGGGGGGGGCGCGCGTAACGCAACAGGTTATTTACTCCCACAGACAAAAGTAACGGGAGCCGACGGCTGACCACACAACACGGGCCTTCCCCCCTCTCCCACCGCGAATCAACAGTCGCTCCGTTCCCACTGAGAGGGAATGATTGTGTCTCCAGAAACAGAGGGAAGACACGAGACTATCTCTCCCCACATACACCCCCACACCCGGACACCTCTCTCTCTCTCTCTCTCCCCTCACGGACACCTCTTCCTCTTCCTCCTCCCCGACTCCCCTCCTCTCTCTCTCTCTCTGCCCGAGTGGCCGCCGCCGCCGCGGGGGCCCAGGGTCAGCGCGAGCTCCCGGCGGTTGCGGAGGTCAAGGGCCGAGAAGTGTTTCGTTTGTTTATTTATTTATGAGGGGGAAGGAAAGAGCCGGGGGTGGGGGGGGGGGACGGGGGGGGGGGCAGCGACCTGCACCTTGTGTGTGCGGTTCGCGGTTCGCGGTGCGGTTACCTGGGCCCGCGGGTCGCCATCGACTGCTGCGGCGGACGGACGGACGCTCAGAGGGCCAAGAGCAGCGGGAAGGGACGGACGCATGCGCACTGAGACCCGGCCGAACGGCCGGCCGTTGGGGCGCGTGCGCGGCGAGGGCGCGTCGGTTGTGGAGGGGGGAGGGGCTCTCCCTTCGGAGCGCGCGCGGCGAGGGCGGGGTCGCGCGACGCCTTCGGCGCATGCGCGGCGAGGGCACGTCGGTTGGGGTGGGAGGGGCTCTCCCTTCGGGGCGAGGGCGGGGTCGAGCGGCGCCTTCGGCGCATGCGCGGCGAGGGCACGTCGGTTGTGGAGGGCGGGGAGGAAGGGGCTCTCCCTTCGGAGCGCGCGCGGCGAGGGCACGTGGGTCGGCGCTTTGCCTTCGGCGCATGCGCGGTGAGGCGAGCGGGCGGTTGGAGCTGGTGGGAGGAGGAGGCGGCGGCGGCGGCGGAGGAGACGGGTCCTTTGTTACCACTTCCTGGGGTCAGAGGCGTCAGAGGAGGGCGGGAGGAGAGGAGAGGGAGGGGGAGGGAGGGAGTGAGGGAGTGACGTGTCCCGGGCTGTGCAGGGAGTCGGGGGGGAGTTTTCAAAGTTAGCGTCGGTGCGGGAGGGCGGGAGAGAGCCGAGAGTAGGCCTCAGGTGAGCCTTCATCCACACACACCCGCATAACGCACAGTCACTACACTGGGCACGCACTAGAATCCGGTGAAGCGCTTTGAGACGTCCCCGAGACGAGACTGGTTCCCCCTCTCCCTCCCCCCCCCATCGCCACCAGCATCGGTGGCCGCGCTTTCAGCCGCTACGCCCCGTAACTCTGGAGCGCTCTTTAACTTCTATCCCCCCCCCTCCCCCCCCCCCCCCCCCCACACACACACACACTCTCTCTCTTCAGTCTTATCCTCCTCTCTCTTCGACCCCGAGCCCACGGTCACCTGCCAACTCCCCGCCCGGCTCGCCGTCGAGCTCAGGGTCCGCAGTCGAGCGCTCGGGGGGCCTCCGCCCTGGGGTTTGAGGGGCCGCTGTGTAAACGGTTGTCGGTGAGGCGCTATATCAAATGCAAGGGTTGTTATTGTTGTTGTTGTTGTTATTAAGAGGCTCGGGGTCCGTCAGGTCACCTCGGTTGCTGCTCAGTCAAACTGGTGCCTTGAAGCGGTTGATTACCTGATGCAATGAGCTTGGTCATTGCAACCTTTGTACCTGCTTTATCTCGGTCACTGGGCTTCACCCACAACCTACACAGTCAATTCACGTTACAGTATATTCTGCGAAACGCTTTTGGCACTATATCGATATGCAGTGTTGGTAATAAGAACGTAAGGGTTAGGAGCAGGAGTCGGCCATTCGGCCCCTCGAGCCGGTGCCCCGCCATTCGATAAGATCATGACTGATCTTCAGACCTAACTCTTAATTACCTGCCCTGTCCCCATATCCCCTGATTCCTCTGTTTTTTTAAAAATCTATCAGTCTCAGCCTTGAAGATGTTCAAGGATATTATTGTGCTTTTACCCATTTAATTTATGAATCACCTGCTTTGCAAAAAAAGAGATTTATTTCATACATCGCTTTTTTTTGTGTGTGGAAGGGAAGGATTGTTATTGTTTTTATTAATTAGATTATTTAGAGCCTAAATAAGGCACCGCCGTGCCAACATTTATTTTTCTGTGTGTCTCTTTGTGGATGGTAACATGGAAACAGATTCATTCTTTATACCATAATATAAGAATGATGAGAACAGTATGGAGAATGAAATGATTACCAATTTATGTATTTGCAGGTATGTACCAGGATGTCAAAAATGGAGAACACTGGGACCACTGAGGTATCTGATCATAAAGAAATCAGACAGGAAGACAGATCCATCAGTGATGAAACAGATACGGGAAGAGACCAACCTCATGGTGTAGAGTTAACACCTCGTTCTGATATGGCCAAACAAGATGCAAATAGTGACAAAACAGTGGTTTCTGAGCCTGAGCTCACTGAGAGCACATCTGGAGACAGTGCAGGTGAAAGGAGAGAGGCAGTTAGCATGACCAGAAAACGACCAGAATCAAAGGCACCCACCCAGCCTGTGGGAACTGAACAACAGCTTTTAGGGGAGGCTGATAAGGTAAGAAATACTATAGCTGCTATAGCTTTTCAAATGCTTGGATGCCCAATCAGCATTGACGGGCGCTTTGAAACATCCTTCCAACGTGAAAGATGCTTTATAAATATTATTTGTATTGTGCTTATTGTATTGTACAGAAGGAATAAATGAGTTTGAAATGAGGCGATAACCACAGTTACCCAAACAGATCTTTACCATTTGCACAGGAATCCTCCAGTCAAGCAGCAGGAAGCTGGGGCTACTGGGGAAATTGGGGAAAATCACTGCTGTCGACAGCTACAGCCACAGTTGCGTCTGTTGGTGAGTTTACCAGTTCCCTGCATGAAAATAATTGGTAAACAGCTTATTTTCAAACCACTGCTTCATTTGACAGGAGAAGTAAAGTAACTGCACCAAACGAAAAGACATGCAACTATGTTATGAACCAGAAGTAACATCACAGGCCTTCTGTGTTTTAATATTCCCTCATTCATTTTTGTAATTCTATTTAATTCAAGTCATCTGAAATGAAATCCCCATGGTTATTAAACCATCGAGACTGGGGAAGTTGCAAAAGGAGTATTTTTTTTTACAACTCCCTTGTGCTTCCCTTCTCCCCCCTCCCCCTCTATTCCATTTATACTTGAGTATTTATTATAGTTAGCAGCATTGATTTACCTGCCTTGTTACTTTTTCTTTCATTTAACTAAAAGAGTTGTGTGTGGGGATTGTTGTCTCAGCTTGTTTGATGTTATTTTCATTGCTTTAGGCCACGGAATTTCTCAAGCAATTGAAAAGGCTGAAACTTCTCTTGGAATTCCCAGCCCTACAGAAGTTTCAGCAGAAGTAAAGCTGTTTGATGGAAAAGGAGGTGAGAAGTGCCAGGGATACTGCCAATTCTCGAAAACAATTCAGTTTACTTGCTGGAAATGTATAAGTGTGCAATATTAAGATGAAGCCTTAATATTAATCAATATTAAGATGAGGATTTTAATCTCATTCCTCTGAGGGGTGGGTTTCTGAAAAATCTGCAGTTTGAAGTGAGCAGGGAGTTAGCGTAATCTAACCTCGATGTGATGAATGTATGAATGAGGGTCTTGAGCAACAGAGGCTGCTAAACTAAAAATAATCCATGATGATGAATGTGCTTCTAGGCTTTAATATAATCAAAGGCTTTTAATGACTTCCTGAATAATGAAACAAATAATGCCGGATTACTACAGGCAGAAGCTGTAGGTAAAAATACTATGGCCTTTCCTATTCAAATCAGGGATTCGACGGATAAGTGCCGTGCTCTTTCCTTTAGCAAGCAACTTTGAATGAGAAAGACCACAGAATTTTTATCAACCTCTACTGTCTGTGTTCATCTGGAAGTATTCATCTCTTGTTTAGGTGATGGATTACCAGAAAATATCAACCGTGATGCTGACCATTAATCATCATTTAAAGCATTTTTTTATAATCCAAATACAATACAAAATAATATTAGCAGTAATCTATTCAAAATAATTTGGAGCAGATAATAATGGGGAAATAATTAACATGAATGCAATTTGGATGTCAATGCTAGAAATGCCATATTGGTAAACCAAAGGTGTATAGTTCAAAATATTTGCTAAAAAGATGACAGAAAAGATATATGCATTAAAATCACAGCTCGCATCTGATTGTGCAATGTTATTGTGGGTTTTCTGCCAATTTTTTAAATGATCTGGAATTGGTTATAATTATTGTTAACAATATTTTCAAAAACAGCAGAGTTTGATGAAGCTGAGAGCAGCCCTAAAGCTCAGAGTGAATCATCTTCCCCGACAAGTGGAGCGTTTGGAATGTTTTCTACCATCACAAGTGCAGTGCAGAGTACAGTAAGTAACAAGTCTTCTTTTATTTAAAAAGATGGTTTGTGAAATTCTTATTGCTGTCTGTCTTAAATCATCAGCAATCATTGAATTCACTTTCTGAGGAAGAATGGTTTTAGATGTGTCCAATGTGGTTCAGTTGCTTCCGTCCACTTCAAAAATAAATAGGAAATGGCTGCAACAAATGTCTGAAAATATTAGGGATATTGCTAGGTTTTACTAGTGGCTAGCTGCTAAAATAAAGATGTTCCAATATGCTAGTGTTGTTTATCTTGATATTTATAAGTGGTTATCTAATGGTCTGTAGAAATGTGAAGTTCTGCTCGCGTTGAATATAAACACGAGTACACACTAGTTGGGCAGAATGACCTGTTTCCATGCCATATCATTCTATATATCTCTATTTTGAACTTCAAGTGCAGGAGGTCAACTGGTGTAAGTACGAGAAGTATACAATTATAACATTTCAGAGACTTTTATTTACAAATGTATTGACCTTATGGGTAGATGCGACCTGCACCATCAATGTTCCAAATACTGTATCCGTGTCAGCAATTTGTGGCCTATCTTTACAGAGATTGAATAACCAAACTATCCTTATTCTCTGTGATAAATCTATTTTGCAAATGTTGATAGTCTGTTTAATGCACTTTCAGGGCATAACTGTACTAAGTGGTGGTTTGGATGCACTTGAGTTCATTGGTAAAAAGACCATGGATGTACTTGCAGAAGGAGATCCTGGATTTAAGAAGACAAAGGGACTTATGAATAGGAATACCACATTGTCTCAGGTACCCTCTACACTTTTGCTTCAACTGTTGGCAATTCTTTAGTGATGTCAGTTTCAGAACTGACTTACGATTGACTGATTCGAACCACAAAATTATCAGAGTATTTAATAGACCTTTTAAAAGAAAGCATAAAAGTACTGCCATGAAAAACAGCAATTGGATTGTGAAAGGCTACATATTTTAATCTGCTATAATCCTACTTCCCCGTTCCTTTTTAAAGCTAATTTTATTTCTCATCCTCTGAAGGCTCTGCGAGAGGCAAAAGAGAGAGAGGAGCTACTTGTGGCTGATCAGGTTTCCGAGGATACAGAAAAGAAAGCTCATTATGGGATGCTGTTTGATGAGTTTCAAGGCCTTTCCCATCTGGAAGCTTTGGAGATTTTATCCAATGAAAGTGAGGGAAAGGTAAATGTGGAGTGAGGAACTTCACCCTAATCACAGTTTGTGGTTTTGTTTAGGCAGTTAGTGACATTTTGTTTTCTCAGAACTATTCTAGGGAGAGCAGGGAGAGTGCGCTTTCCATTTCCAAACACAGGGAAATACACATGTGGATCTCCCAGTCTGGTTGGGAAACGTTTTAAGCGTGGTAATGGGTTTTCTCATATGTCATACACCCTACTGACCAAAGAAAGTTCTCGAAATCTTCAACTTGTATACAGAGGTTAAAGAAAACTAGCGGAATCTGGGTATTTCTAACCTGTGATCTGTTTTCAACTTGGGGCTATTTCTTTATCATAAATCAATTTTCGTCGCATTTTGTAGGTGAAATCAGTGCTTCACGCTCTGTCCGGACAAGATGTGGAGAATCTAAAGGAAGAGCTGGAAGCCATCAAAGAGGCTTTCTCACTGGTGGAATTTGATGAAGAGGAGGAGGAAGAGGACAATGGTGAAGCTAATAATGCAGCGGATAATATAAGTAATAATAATACAAACATTAAATATAAATAAACTTCACAAAGCTTTTTGAATTTGTGAAGTTAGCTCATTGGCTTGGCTAACTGAATAGGCTATTTGCTATCTCTGAAATAGTATGATAAGGGCTAAATATAGCTATATACATTACAGTAGATTACCATGCAACTAATTATAAGGTAAAAATATTTTAACTGTTGCCAAAATTCAAAGGTTAGATTTTTATTTCCAAACTGAAACACCAATAATTATTCCAACTTAACAATGAACGGCAATGTTTGTATTGAAGAGGGAATACTGGGATTGTTATTATAGAATGTTGAGACCCTCACACGGCTTTCCGATCTTGAACTTTCGTTTGATTTTTAGGAGGTGATGGCTCCGAGTTTGTGAAAGAATTGTGTGAGCTCTTATCAGAGTTGAATATAGCGACAACATCTGATAAACTTAGCAAGGTAAGTTGATATGCAATTACCATGTAATTTGATTAGACAATTAAGAACATAAGAATTTGCTGGCGAAAGAAGACCAAGGTCCATCTAGTTTGCCTTCTACCATCCTGGCAGTCGCTTGACATGTCGTGTCCCAAACTATATACTGAATCCCCAGATATTATTTTCTAGCAATCAATTTGCACAAGGAGTAATTTCTTTACTTTTGAAAATAAATCTTTAGTAATTATGTATGTGAAGAAATGGGACTTTTGTGTTTATTGGGCTGATCTTAATCGGTTGACAGTTTCAATCAACTCATTTTCTACATTTTGTTATTACGTGCTTCATGTCCCGTGATACATCCGTCCTATTGCCTGCTTCATGTCCCCCACCCTATCTGCCCTTACCATCGATTGGAGAGCTTTCAGTCATTCAGCCAAGGCCCTGTAGAAATCCATCCCCAAATCCTCCCCAAATTCAAAGCCAACCTCAAGACTTATCCCTTTAATATACCTTTGGTCATCTGTCCCCTCCCTATCGTCTTCAGCTCCTACCCTCAGCTCACAGGCCCAGCCACCGATGTGGAAGCTCTTTGAAAGGCACTGAATAAATATAAACTGTAAATAAAAACTTTTGAGGGGTTCTGTATTTGATCCAGGAGGTGGATTAATCTGGTTGTAATCTTTGGTGCTCGATATCTATGACAACAGTAATGTCTGTTTCAGGCGAGAAAGAATGCACACGACCGGATTACCGAGGCAAGCAATGTCTTGTCTGCGCAACCAGAAGAGAGCGAGCCAGAGAAAGGACAGGGTCCGAGAGATGAAGCTAAGTCTGGTGACTTGAACAAAGTTCAGAAGTATTCAGTGGAGGTATGTGCACAATGTGGGATGCTGCTGTGCGCAATTGGCTGCTGTGTTTCACCCACAAAATATACAGTCAATTCTGTGAAGCGCTTTGAGACATCTCGAAGACATGATAAGGCGCTATATCAAATGCAAGGATTATTATCATTATATAATGTGACAAGTTCTTGTGTGCATGTACTTTTGTAGAATATCCACACGTCTGCCATTCAGAGCCTAGCAGAACTGACTGCTCGATCCATTGAACAGTTCCATAAGGTAGCAGAGCTCATCCTCCACAGCCAGGACCCAGATGTAGAGGCACTGGATCGTGCCAAGACCTTATCAAAGTATGAAACTTTACCATTGCCATTTTAAACCGTTTGTCTGCTGGCCAGAAAAGCTTACTTGTGAATTTTTAATATTGGTCAATTCGTGCATAGGAGCAGTAGTAGGCCATTCAGCCCCCTGAGCCTATTCCGTCATTCCATAAGATCGTAGCCGATCTGTACCTCAACTTCAGTTAGGAGCAAGTGGGAAAGGGAGATTGTCAAAGCATATCTGTTAATCCAATTTATTTACCTCACTCATTTCACAGCTAGATGGAGCTGGGCAGGTTCATCCCAACTTGAGAGGGAAGGAAAATGCAACGGTCTCAAATTCATGTATTATAACTATTATTACAAAATAGCCCTGCAGTTGGAATTGTCCATTTCTACACTTTACCACAGACAGTTTTTTTTGCAAGTGACACCATGCTGTAGGCAGCTTTCTGCAATGAATTGTAAAATATTTGATTTAGAAATAGAAAATAGGATCATTGGGATATCATTTTCCTTTACACCTGGGACCTAATATTGAATAAATCCAAACTGATGGGATAAAATCCCTGCTGGTCTGTAAGGGTCAGGTGGCCTCAACATGCTACTGCTGAGCGATGAATGAGGAGTTCTGAGGTTGGGGCGGTTTTAAACACTAAAGGGACTTCAGCTGTGCTACATCTGATGTAAAATTATTTAACGTTGATATTGGAAATAGAAAAAATGTTCCATTCCCTATTGCTGACACCCTTAAAAAGACAAAAGAACGAAGGGTTTATCAAGTATTTTGGTGTAGTGTTCGTTTCTATTACAAAAACAAACAAAAAAAATAATAAATTGGTCATTGAATCTACCCACTAAACATACAGTCACTGCACTTTACAGTATACCCTGTGAAGCGCTTTGAGACGTCTCGTAGACGTGATAAGGTGCTATATCAAGCGCAAGGTTTATTATTATTCTTTCTTTTGCAGAGTGACTGTTGTATTATGTAAGGAAGTGGCCTCTCTTTCAAAACAATTTACGTCCTGTTTGACAGCTCTCGGGGTAAGGAACAGAAAATTTTCCTCGTGCTGTGTTTCTTACTTTGTGCAGATGTGCATAGGCGTTAATTTAAAACCATTAAGGTGGTTGTCTTTGTAGCAAGAAATAAGAACTCTGGCTTCCCCATGACATAAAGTCAGAGTCAGGATCACTGTGTTTTGGAGCTGGCTGTGCTCATGATAGACTGGCTCCCTAAATATTTATTTTCTTTACAGGCTACAGAGAAAGTGGAAGTTTTGAATCCATTAATTACTGGAGTATTTTTGGAGGTAAATTTTACTTGATCTGTCTGTTCTGTTTAAGGAGGTCACCTGACAATATGGAAGCCAAACATAATTAGTTATTTTGAATTCTGATCTAAATTAATTAATGAGAAAAGTTTAAAAATAGTCACCCGTTTATCTTTGAAGTCTACGCAAATGTCATGTTCAGTAGCCGAAGAAAAATAAGATGTACCATTTTGTAATCCCAATTAAATTTCTCTTCTAGGCTTCTAATAGTGCAACCTACATCCAGGATGCATTCCAGCTTCTGGTTCCAGTTCTTCAAGTTTCTCAGATCCAGTCTCGATCTAACACTACAACACGTTGAATCTTTAATTTTATTGCCTTAGGTAATTAAACTGCTTTGCATGAATGTTATTCCACAAAATGTATCCTGGACGAGCCTGGATTACTTTAGGATGCATTGTACAACAGTTGGAATCATTTTAACATGGACTCTGGTCAGAAGGGCAAGAAGTGTTATCAAGTGCTCAGAAGGAAACTGGCTCCTGCAACAGGGAAATAAATAAAACTAAACTCCCTCAAATAATTTTAAAAGAATTATAGCATTTGGAAAAGATGTATATTTTCTGATTTTTGAATCCTTTTCTCCCTTAAAAGTACTATTTAGACAGTTATTTCATTCTGCAACAAATCTGACAATCTGATCTTGAAGTCCTCAGCCATTTCTTGAGTCACATTAATTATACTTGCATTTGATATACTGCCTTATCACGTCTTCAAGATGTCTCAAAGCATTTCACAGAATATACCGTAAAGTGCAGCGACTGTATTTTGTGGGTGAAACCCGGCAGCCCATTGTGCACAGCTAACTGCAGTTTCTGCATAAATAATAGTTATTTATCTTAGAAAGAATACTTAGAAACTAGCTATCAGTGCCCAGATTTCTATATCAATATTGAGGTCTTCATAGAATGAAAAACGATGTATTGGATATTATAAATGGAAATGATAAACTAGTTTCAGGTAAATTGCCAAAATATAGTAACAAAATATTTTGCTCAGGGTTTTTTTTGTTCTGCCACATACTGACCAAAACTGCAACTAAACATGATTTTATTCCCATTATTACTCTAAACCAGTTTGTGTTTAGATCAGCTGAATATAACAGGGTGCGGTGGGAAATTGATCAGCTTTTCTCCTTTTGCCTCCAAGCAGTGTTTATACTTCCTCGATTAGTGTAACGAAAGAACTACAGCATTCAATGGGAGGTGTGTTTTCTGATTTGTTGAGTCCTTTTCCTCCTTGAAACATCCTATTTAAAATGTATGATATTTTCTCTAGGTCTGTAATTAACAGGACAGTTTGCTGTGGACCACAGAAATTGGGTCTCTGTAAAGAACAAAAAGGGGTTTGTGAGCATTGAGTTATGAGGACTGCTGTCGCTAGTATTCTTTCCGTTCACTTTATATTAACTCTATAACTATATACAATACAAAATTACATTTGTATAGCGTCTTTCTCGTCGGGCGGACATCCCAAGGCTGGATCCATATTCAAGACTAGAGCAAGGCCCAACTGTTGGAGAAAACTACCTGCTATTTATTAGCTTTGTTGCCCATTAACTGTCGTGAACTAAAATGACTTTTGCTTCAAAAAGGACTCATAACATAACCGCCATTGGAGCAAACCTCATTATTGCACGTCACACTTGTAGTTGCAGGGAATTAGGCATAGATTAAATTTCAAGACCTTTACCTTGTGTTATAAATATTCTATATTTTCATGTAATGTCTGTGGTGTACATGTACATATCTCACAGCTTGTATAAAAATAATTCATCAGATCTTTATAATTTATTGGATTTCATTGTGTTTGTTTTGTTAGCGCTCTTTTTGATTTATGAGACCATTTAGAAAAAAAAATTGCTTCCAAATAATTTTCTATCTCAACTCGTTCCCTGAACTTTGTACATCTTGAGTATTGCAGAATAGAAGTTTAACTGAAGTTAACTTTGTTTTTGTGTGAAAATATACGTGTTTTTCCCTGGTCGTTCGTCTATGTTACTCTCCCGATATGATTTATTCATCAGTTACTAAAAGGGACAATCTAGTAACATAATAATCCTTTCATTTGATATAGCATTTACACATCTTTGAGACGCCTCAAGGAGCTTCACAGAATATACTGCCAAGTGAATTGACTATATTTTGTGGGCAAAACATCCAAATATAGCATTTGGTATACTTATTGGTATTCAAATGTAACATGCTGTGGACTCCACATTGCAGAGCCACAATATGGCTCGCTACGGAATGCAAACATCCAGTTTCTAACAGCTATTTAGTTTTGCAATAGTTAAAACTTTATATCATTAACTTCGACTTTCCTGCAGGTGCCATAATCTCAGTTTATGAATGCTTTGGTTTGTAGGTGGCTGCTCATTCAATCTAATATTGAGTATTAAATAATATGCACCAGATTCCCGGTGGTAAGCTATTGACTACAGAATGCGTGCTGTGTGAATGGGATCAAACAACCCAGTTGTGGAGTTGTGCGAGTACTAACATTCAATTATTTCTACATCTACAACACAAATTTGCATTACATAGTACCCTTGGTGTTGGATAACTTCTCACAGAGCTGTACAGGTTGAAAACCGAGCAGGACAGAATGGGGAGATGATCCATGTCTAAGGTACCTCAGGCCATACGTCAGTCGAAGAGGTAGGTTTTCAGGTGGGATTTAAAGATTGATGAATATCTTTTTCAGACTGTCAACACCGTCCTCAACTACCTCCATAGGCTTCACATTATTTACCACCCTCTAGCTAAAGAAGGTAAATCAAAACTTAAGTCACCAATCTTGAAAATCTTGTTAGTCATGATTTAACAAAGCGTGTATTTATTTAGCGCATTTCATGTAGGATAATGTGTCTTAACATTTCACAAGAATGGTATTAGACTCTGAGCAAGAGGGGAGGGGGATTTAAGTTTGAAATTGACAGTCATCTAGAAGTATCTATACAGCTTAAACACCTAGAATTAATTATCAGAAAGGGTTTGTGAGACAAGGAGACTAAGAAAATACTTGATACTGTAATGTATTTGGATGTGACGTTTCGTCTGCCTGGTCAGGTGGACATTAAAGATCCCGTTCAAAAAGAGAAGGGAATTTCTCCCGGAGGGTCAATAATCCCTGGTCATTCAGTATATGGAGGTTTGTGGGACATTACTGTGTGCAAATTGGCTTTCTGTTTGCCCACAAAATACACAGTCACTGCACTTTATAATACAACCTGGGAAGCTTTGAGATATCCTCCTGACGTGAAAGGTGCTATATGAAATGTTGAGATTATAATTATTATTTATTCACTGAGCCCATTTAAATAATTCATTCACACATTTTTATTTTCATACTTGTACAAGGGTTCTTTTGATAAATTATAAAGTACGTGATAATACTCAGAATTAAATTTATTACACTGTATGATGCCACTGACCAGCACTATGATTCACTTCTGTAGTCAGCTAAACTTTATGGAGGTAGTGCAACACTTACAATTATCTGTACAGAACCAAAGCAGCAAAAGCGACAGTTCCTTAAATTTGCTGAAGTCAATTACAAATTCACTATTGTTCTAATTTGTCCTGTACAACCGTGGAGCTGAATATACTGGGTTCCATAATTCACACAACTAGTACTCTGGCACCAACCTCGCTCTGTGAAGTTAACCCCTGCTAGGAAGATACTGAACATTTGCACTCAAACCTGCCTTCAGGGAGACTGGGCCAAAGTGGGCTTTACATAAGGGCGGCTTCCCAGTTGGGGTCTGTTGGTGTGTCAATCGACACCCTACAGTGGGTGATAACTGCTGACAACTACCAGCTGAGGCAAAAAAAAATCCGATTTCAGTTCATCTTAAGGCAAAATCAAGTGTATGGATATTCCATTGCAATACTCAGTTCAGCTTGATAGCATTAGTTAACAAAAGAGTAATTTTGAAGGTATAAAGTCTGGCTATTATGTCTCTTGAAGATCCACAACATTGTCATTAGAACAGATTTCTGTCGGGACCAGAAGTAACGGTTTTATTCCTAGTCTGCCCCAAATGTTTTCTGTTGTCAAAATAACTCAGGAAACAGAATGACTGATCTACGAACAAGCTCTTTTCCCAGACATGTTCCTGAGCTTCAATGACTATCCTACCCACCCACTCCCAGTAGGTTTATTGAAGTTTTCACACAATGCACGAGATCCACACAGAAGCCCTGTAAATATTAATGTTTTGAAAAGATTTCTTAAAAGAGGTTGATACTTAATGTATAAAATTTATTGCAACATTTGAGTAATTATCATGAATAATATTTACCCACAGTTACTTTGTTTTACTGTACGGAGGGAAGTATACATTATTGTGTTTATCAACATGAGGAGTGTTACTATGAGGGAAATAGTATAACACTTTAGGCACCAAGGTCAGCATTAACACTTGCACGTCATTGATCAAATGCGGACAAAAACTCCTTATATTCTGCTTCAGCAATGAACCTTAAATCACAAACCAACCATCCTTATGGATTCTGATATCACATATATCTGGGCTGCATTTGCAGTCACGTCCCAGCAGAGAAAGAATATCGTGCCACCCCTGCCTTGTTTAATAATCACATCTTTATTTTTTAGGCAAGTTGTGGTAAATTATCTTTACTTTCTACTAGTGTCACCTGATACAAACAAATGTAAATAAATTCCTCGGAACTCAGAAATCTGGGCAGCGCAGTGGCTCCACGGTTGTGCTGAATAAATACTGTTACTGCAAACTCAATGAGGACATGTACGCCAAATATTTTATGACTTCTGTATATATCTGGATACTGTGATAGGTAATAGCTTTCCTTCAGGGCTCATTCAAAGGCGATACCAATCACCATTAGCTGTAACAAATAAAACCGGTTCATTCCCATACTTGCATCTGTCAAACCAGTTTGAACACTTAAAAGTAAGAAAAATACTGTTCAAATACTTGTCTGAATCAGGCATAGCAATTCAGGAAGGTACTATTTAAGACTTAATTATCTTATATGGTAACTCATTTGGTGTTATGAGTATACACAATTTACTGCTACAAATGTGGTTTAGTTGCCTAGAACAACAAGAAATTGGATTTTTTTAAAAAAAAACAAACACATTTCTCCAGGCTACCACAATGTGAAATTTCAATTTGAAACATTTTAACTTTCGGAACAGAAAACGTAATGTTGGGAAAAACTGCACCACACTGGGCAACCCTAGCTTTTACATGGAGAGAAATTTACTCATCATCACACTCAGATCTGATAATGATGCATTTAAATCGTTTCTGTGGTGGGTCATCATGGATGTGAACATGAATGTCCCCATGCAGTTTATGAAGCTCAAAGATAGACTGGATCGTGCTGGACATGTCTGATGTATTGCGTGAACTGATTCCAACTGCTGCTTTATGGGTGTGGGACACACGTGGAATATTTTCTGCTTGGTATTGGTTTGGGAAATCACTGTTCTCCGGTTCTTCCTTGATAGCTTTACACAAGCTGCTGGATCTTGGGGTGTCTTGTATGCTGATCACATGAGAACGTCCAGTAGCGTTACTAAGACTATCGTGACAGTGCAGAGTAGGTTTAGAAGCAGCATTTGGCCTAAAGTTCTGCACGGCTCTAGACAAACTATGTGGGGGGTGCTCCCTTCTTTCGGACAGTTCACAGAAGCTGTTAATATTCGGAAGATTTCTATTGCTTGATATTTGAGGAAGATCCATTGGAGGGACAAAAGTGTCTACGCATTCCTGAGTTGACGTTTCACTCGGGCTGGGGTTAGTAAAATGATTATCGTTTGGTAGGCTGTCCATTTGCTTCACAAGTTTTGCCATAGCTCGCAGTGTGTTTTTACCAATTCTCATGTTTCGGTACCATAGTGAATAAGATGGATTGTACATATAGTTTGGGGCAATATAGAAAGGAGAGTCTAGATTCTGCATATCAGGAGGGCGTTGGTCAGCGTACATTTTGTAGGCTTTTATAGGATCTCGTTCTGGGTTAGCGTTAGTATACATGCGTAGCCTGAACGAACACACGTCATGAAAACTGTCCCCGGTTGCAGCTTTGGGTTGCCTATCCCAAAACTCAAGGTACTCCAACCCAGAGGAATCCATGCACAGTTTGACATCCCCCCATTTTAAATCGTACTGTTCCTTGGGGCTCAGCGCAAAATATATGCTGATGTTGAAGAAGAGCATGTGAATTAAGGCGGCCGGATCGTGAAGACCGATGGCTCCGCACTCGTACAGCTTGTTCAGCTCCTCCTCGGTGGGCGCTTCGGTGCGGTTCGGACGGTTCCCCTTGCCCTCCTCCTTGAGCTGCTTCTGCTTGGCCTTGAGCGCGTCCTTCGTCTTCCCGAACTGGCTGCCGGCGCCCTGGAAGACGGAGTGGCCGTACTTGTGCCGCCGCAGCCACCGGTCGACGCTGCCCAAGATGCCCCGCAGCGAGCTGGGCTCGAACTCCTCCCCGTTCTTCTTGCGCACGGACACGATGAAGTCGGCCAGGAGGGCGTCCAGGGCGTCCGGCTTCATTTCGTGGACGGGCCCGGTCTGGCCCAGCGAGGCCAGGTAGGCGTTCAGCAGCCGCACGTCCACCAGCGTCTTCCGCAGGGTGTTCTGGTTCTCGGGCTCCTCCTGGGACGCCGGCCCCAACGCGCTCGTGCAGGGCCGCTCCGGGGTCATCGTCCTCCTCGGGGGGGAAAACCGCCGCTGCTGTTGTTGTTGTTGTCGTGGCGGTGGTGGTGGTGGTGGTTGTTGTTGTGGTGGTGGCTGTGCGTCTGGTAGCGAGAGAGAGAGGTCTAACAGTCGCCTAACAGGCAGCAGCTAACCTGCAAACCCCTCCACCCCCTCCCACCCCACTCCACACACTGAGGTCCAGAGGCGACAGACATCTTCTTCCCGAGGCAAACCCTTGGCCTTCCCTTCCTTCTCCCTTCTCCCTTCACCTCGCCATCCCCTCAGCCCTCGCCTCGCGACGTCAATGAATGAAGGTTAACCCGGTCAGCTGACCGGTTTTCAAACGCGCCAGCCAACCGCCGCCCGCGCGACCGCACCCCCCCCCCCTCCCGGCTCGGCCGCGGCCAATGGGCGGGCGGCGCCGCCGTCACGTGGCGCGCACCCCCCGCCCCCCGACGTCAGCGCACGCAAATTATCCGGCGCGTCACGTGAGGCGCGCGGGGGGGGGACGACGAGGCTCAGGGAAGAGAGGGGCGGGGCCCAGGGAAGAGAGGGGCGGGGCTCAGGGAGGGGCGGGGCCCGGGAAGAGAGGGGCGGGGCTCAGGGAAGAGAGGGGCGGGGTCCAGGGAAGAGAGGCGCTGTATCAAATGCAAAGGATTATTATGATGATGATGATCCTGTAGCTCAGTGGTTAGAGCACTCGCTTTGCAAGTGAGAGACCTGAGTTCAATTCCAGGCAGAGGGCGAAACCTTGGGCAAGTTTCCTTACTCCACACAGAGCCTAATAATAATCCCTCCAAAACCAAAAACAATAATAAATTGGTCATTTTCAATCTACGACTGTTTGTGGGACATTGCTGTGCGCAATTGGCTGCCGCGTTCGCCCACAAATATACAGTCAATTCACTCTACAGTGTGTTCTGTGAAGCGCTTTGGGACGTCCTCCCGACGTGAAAAGCGCTATATATCAAATGCAACGATTATTATTATTATTATTATTATTATTGACACAGGCGTCAATCCAACTGGGAGTGGGGGGGTTGGGTCAGTCCTGCCCACGTGACTGGGCGGGTGATTGACAGGTCGCTCGGGGGCGGGGCGAGCACTGCGCCTGCGCGAGGGAGGCCGCGGTGCTCACTGATAAACGGTCCGGGCGGAGGGGAGTCGGCGCGCGCGCGCGAGAGAGAGGAGAGAGTGTTTGCGGCGACGGCGGGAACGGGAAGAAGAAGAAGCAGCAGATCGTTCCGGTTACCGCGCGGCGGGAGAGAGAGAGAGAGGGCGGCGGCGGCGGCGCTGTCACCGCTGGTCCTGTCGGGCGGAGGCCGGAGAGGCTTCGGGAGGCCGCGGCTCCGCGGTGGGGCGGGGCTCGGGCTGTGAGGTGAGGACCGCCGCCTCTGGTGAGCGTTGATGGCGTCGCGGCCGCCGCAGCTTCTCCGTCCCCCGTCCCCTCCCCTCCCCTCCCGCCCCCGACCCGACCCGACCCCCCGCCGTGGCCTCGCGCAATGTCCTCTAAATCGCCTCACGACGCGCGCGGGACCCCCCCCCCCTCCCCCCCCCACCCCCTCCCCCCAAACCGTGAGTGCCTCTCGCGCGCTGCTCCAGAGATCCATCTCCATTTTTTTTATTTGTTTATGTGCGGAAAAAAAAACACCAATTTTTTTAATGTTTATTTATTTATTTATTTAAAACGATTCTGAGATTTTTTTTGTCTCTCTCTCACTCACTCACTCACTCTCTCTCGTGTCGTCGGTGTGACCGGTGTCCCGGTGCTCTAAGCCCCGCCCCTCCCGAGGGTCGCGTTATCGCAGCTCTCACGTGGTTCCCGCCTGAACATCAGAGGGGGCGGTGTCATCTAAACAACAACAACAACAACAACAATAATAATAATAGCAATGACAATAACAACGATAATGATAATAATAATAATCTTTGCCTGTGATACGGCGCCCGATCGGGTCTTCGAGACGTCCCTAAAAGCGCTGCGCAGGTTATCGCGTACAGCGTAGTGACTGTGCGCTTCGCGGGACGAAACCGCGGCGGGCGATGGCGGGCGCAGCGGCGTTCCCCCTCCTCCCCCCACACCCACACACGCACCCACACAAACACGCGCCCACACAAACACGCGCACACGCACCCACACAAACACGCACCCACACACGCACGCACCCACACACGCACCCACACAAACAGTCGCGCGGGGGGTTCAAGTGGCCAAATGTATTCATTCTTCGAATGGGTGGTGGTCGCCGGAGATTAATCCGCCGCACGTGCAGCGACTTGGCTGTCGTGTGGCGGATGCGGCGCAAACGGCGACGCTGCGTGGACGGGATCCGGTGTTCACTTTTCCTCGCCGTCGGTGGGGAAAATCGGTCCGTTTCGTACGCCCGCGAGCGAGCGAGCGTTACAATTAAGCGGCGCTCCTCGTTGTGACGTAATAAGATGCGATTGTTCAGATTTCATATGAATGTGCGCAGGAATAAATTTAGTCCGGTACCTTGATATAATAATATTATTATTATTATTGATGTGCGTTTCAATAATTTAAAGGATGGAAGCTTTCCCTTCAGTACCGTGCTGAAGAGTAAATGTGGAAGGATAATTCCTGCATGTAAATGGTTCTATGTCAGGAATTGTTTTCATGTTGCAGGTAAAAATCTTGTGGGGAAATTGGAGATTCCGGGCTGGAGCCTGCAACAGTTTGCCTTCTTTGCCATTCCTAGAGCCCTTCGGTCCACTTCAGGAAAATGCCGGCAGCGGAAGAAGACCACAGTCAGATAATTCGCGAGGTCTGGGCGAACAACCTCGAGGAAGAGATGAGAAAAATTCGCCTGATTATTCAGAAGTATAATTACATAGCTATGGTGAGAGATTTCAGTTCTGTTGAACCGCAGTGAAGATTTGCAACTTCACGCCTTGAAGTATCCTGGGAAGGAGGGGAAGGGGTAAGCAGGGTCTCTTTGGAGCTGAATTAAGCTGGCTTCAGGTTGATGTGTTTGGCAACAAAATATTAGAATTGTCAACTGTCTCGAAGTCTTCGTACTCTGGTTTCTGAACCAAGGTGGGTCCTGTGCAGCACATGGCTTGAGTGGTGTTCCCAGCGGGTAACATGTGTGCGATGCACAGGAAAATCAGTGGTGAGCTAACGCCTGGAAAAGCTCCTACATCCACCCATGTGGAGTTGGGAAATATTGATCTGGGATAAGAAGCCTCAGCAGGAGACTGACTGCTCAGTGCTCAGCTCCAATAAACATTTTTGGTCTTCCTCCAATTACTTGATTTCAACTCCCCCATATTTTATTAATGGGATTAAATTATTTTAGGTGACTGTAATGTTGGGCTTTGTGTTCCACTTTTAACAGGATACCGAGTTTCCTGGTGTTGTGGTTAGGCCAATTGGAGAGTTCCGGAGCACTGTTGATTATCAATACCAGCTTCTGCGATGCAACGTGGACCTGCTGAAGATCATCCAGCTCGGACTGACTTTCATGAATGAAAAAGGTCATTACCCGCCGGGTACCTCCACGTGGCAATTCAACTTTAAATTCAACCTCACGTGAGTGCTGATAATTAACCCACAGGACTGCAGATATTGTAGCCAGTTAAACATTTCTTTGAATTCCTCCAGCTTGATATGGTTGCACCAAAAGTATATTCTTAACGGAATGGTTTTATGAAAACTTGATACCACTTTTGTGTAATGGTTCAGCAACCTAGAAAATCAGGCAGTTCAATCCAAGATTTTTTTTTCCCTCTTACTATTGATTCCCGATTTGATACTGTTAAGCAAGCGATGGTATTTTAGTGACACAATATTGGTAGAAACTAAGTATGCTGCCTGCATTTTATCTGCTTATTTATTAATGTCACAACCTCTTGTAATTTGTGATTTAATTTTTTAAATTTTAAACAGGATTATTTGATGTATAATTGTGGCAAAGTAAGTTTCAGTTCCCTTCATTGAAATGAGCAGCTTGGCTGCCTTTAATCTGCAGGTAATTTCATAAATAAAATATTGTTTACCTCTGACTCCCTGCCTTAGAGTGACTGAGATGGGGAGGGAATGAAATGAACCAGAATCTACAGACTTTGAATCCAAAGATTCTCTGACACATACATTTGTTTGCTTGGTTAGGGCAGTTTTACCAGAACTTACCTTGAGTGTTTCACCACAATATTCACAATAAACCTTGCTTTTAATATAGCACCTTTCACATCAGGAGGATCTCTCAAAGTATTTCACAGGATATGCTGTAGATTGTAGTGACTATACTTTGTAAGTGAACGCTCATAGTCGGTATTTAAAGTGAGAGGGAAATCTCTTTATCGTTGTGGGTTATAGTGAATGAAACTCAACTTCTTGGCCAATCACAAGGGAGCGCTCACAGCTGTAGAGAATTTTTACTAATTGTTCATCACATCATTAGAAGCTTATGGTGATAAAGCAGCTGTGGGGGGGGCAGGGAAGTGTGGTATATTGAACGTGTTTTACTTTGTCAAAAGAAGCATTCAATTCATGTTTAACTATTTATCCAACATACTGACACCAATCTCACTCTTTCGGATGAGAAATCCACAATCTTGTTGGGGAAAAAATACCGAGAATTCTTATTTTTCTCTTTAAGGGAGGACATGTACTCTCAAGACTCGATAGACCTGTTGAGAACCTCTGGGCTCCAATTCAAAAAACATGGCGAGGAAGGCATTGAGACTTCTTACTTTGCGGAGCTCCTCATGACGTCTGGGGTCGTTCTTTGTGACAATGTCAAATGGCTTTCTTTTCATAGGTTGGTCCCTGAGATTCTGAAAGGGTTTTTGTTTGAGCCCGATCAATTTATTCTCAATTTTCTTTTCCATTCTCTTTACACTCCTATCTTGACATCGTGATTTACGCCACTTCTCTTTCCTTTCTCCCTCCTCTTCTCCACCCCGCCCCCCTAAGAAAAAAAAACACTTGGATATCTTACATGATGTGGGAGATTTATTTTTAATAACATGTTAATTGGCGAAAGTTAGAAAGTGGACAGTTTTAAAATGTTGCTTTGCAACTTCTCACGCTGGTTACAAAATAATTATTGTGCCAATGAATTAACAGCCAGGTAAATAATGATTTTTAATTAAGCCTGATCTTGTATATGCTTTTATTTTGTGTAGTGGATACGACTTTGGGTACTTGATTAAACTTCTAACCCATTCACGGTTGCCTGAAGAAGAGCAAGAGTTCTTTGACATCCTGCATTTGTTCTTCCCTGCAATCTATGATGTGAAGTACCTCATGAAAAGTTGCAAAAACCTGAAGGTATGCATGGAAAGTGGAACATATAAATCCAATAGGAATGGGTATCACAGCTCATAGACGCAGTAAAAAAAACTAATAAATCATAAGGGCGATAGTCATTTCAGCTACATTCATACATAGAGGAATGAAGATTGCCAGTCAAGTGAATGTGTAGCGATTTATTTCACTGGAGCTTTTTCTATCATGAATTTGTTTCATCTTCTTCTACTGAGTACCGAAGTGAATAGATTTAAACTTACTTAATAGTTAAGTTTGGGCATCTTCCAACAAAAGCAGTAATTACATTTGACAGAAAACACTTAGAGATGTTACTATATGATGAGTTATATTGAAGGATTATTGTCTTTACCCTCTTTCTTACCAGAGTATGTTTGGTGCTGTCAGTTTGGAAACGTGTTGCTTGTGCTAAGAAGAAAACGATTGCTGATTGAATAACTAAAGTGCTCTGTCCCAACTAGATTCCAGTTGGCACGAAATTAGACGTAATTATGTTGATCAATTCTTTTTCTCTTTTAAAAAAAAATCAATTAAAATCTCATCTCCTCCCGTGCAAAGAACTTTCTTGAATGCGTTAACCGAGGGTAAATATTGAAATGCTTTTGAAGTGAACAGATCTCTGGAATATTGAGAGAGCCCAAAAGCATCTGCTCGGCATACTGGTTGACTAATTGAAATCTTTCCTATTGTGGTGGACACAAGTGCAAACCCTCGATTGCTCGGCCCCTTGGAACTTCCTCTCGACGTGGAATTGTTCTATAAAGTTTATTTGTTGTTGATGTTGCTTATGTTTCCATTTCATACTAACATTTGTTTGTTTATCGTGGGAACTTGCCTTCACGGGGTAAACAAATATAATACCCTGGCGTGTTAACACGTACAGATGCAGTAACTGGATCTTTCTGCACCAGCAAATGGTGTTGCCCTTTATCCAGATGTTCCTGTTGAAGTAAATATTATTTATGTTGGAAGAAGAGAATAATTCCTTAGCAAATGTTCCTGTTTGACAAATATGTCGCTTTTTAACTGCCATAATTGTGCAAAATGTACGTACGTGTCTGTTAAATGCAGGTCTAGAACGTGTTTGTTTTCAATGTGTAGTGAAAAGTAATTACATAGTGATACATTTTGGAAACAGATCATTCAGCCCAGTTAGTCTGTGCTCTGTTTGTAACTGCACACCGCCCCCCCCCACTTTTATTCCCTCCACTCAAGTGCCTCTATTGCCCCCTCCTATACCCCTGCATTCCCTTTATTTTGACCTCTACGAATGAGCCGCTTAAAAAAAAAATCTGCACTGCTTTTTGTTTTCTCATCTTCTGTGAGCAAGAAGCGCCTGGGACACAGATGTCTCTTCAGTCTCTGCCAATACTTGTCCACATTACTCAACAAGATATGCAAGCTTGCAAGGCATAACAATTTGCACCTGCTAGTTGTATGTGTGTGTGTTCTCTTCTCCCATTCCTCCTCTTCCAACAACAGGTATGTTCTTCTCTTCCTTCCTGCCCCCCTTCCTCTTTTCCTCTGCCATCTACACGACAGAGGGTGTGCTATCAACATTACTTTAATCTCCTACAGTGTGGTTGCCAGCACTTACTTGTCTACTAGAATAACAGTGTCTGGCTTTTTGCAGGGTGGCCTACAAGAGGTTGCTGAACAGCTTGAGTTGGAGCGTATTGGACGCCAGCACCAGGCAGGTTCAGACTCACTGCTGACAGGCATGGCTTTCTTCAGGATGAGAGAGGCAAGTGGTGACGGCAGCTACATTAAACATAACAAATGTTATGGGTGAAAGTGCAAACCTTTTGGTTTCTGCCGGTGATTTCTCTCCTTCAAAAAGAGCCCTTTAGCTACTCCCACAAACCTGTTTGAATAAATTTAATATACTTGTGTAAATACAATGCAGCTGGGAGCATTGAACAGCGCCATTGTTACAGTCTGGTTCCAACAGCTGTATGTATTGTAGGTAAACCATACGTTGTCACCATGTTGAGATTTGAAACAAAATCCCCACTGAATTTATGTTTATTGGGAGCTGAATAGACGTTACATAATTTCCTTTGCATTTGGGCATGATCGGAGTCTGGGAATCTTTCAAAGATGGGTGAAATTCCATTAGCATTGTGTCGCCAAGCATAAGGCATTCCTGTAAATTCAGGCAAACTCATCAAATATTGAACATTTGTTTCTGACTTGCAGTTGTTTTTTGAAGACAACATTGATGACACCAAATACTGTGGACATTTGTATGGTCTTGGATCAGGTTCAACCAACAACCACAATGGGACAGCAGGAACTTCTGAGGAGGAAGCCAACAGCAAACACTGACCATAGCTGAGATGTTTTATTGGACCCTGATCCTTTTAATAGATTTTACTACAGAATAAGTAACCTTCACCAGACAGAAAGTTTTTGAGAGGTTTGTCATTGGACTGCCAAGAGCAATTAAACCTGATTTGCTTTATTTTTAAAAAAAAATAAAACCTGTGTAATAATGTTTTACTGCAACTTGATGTGTATGCGTTTTGTAAATACTGTACTGTTGATTTAATCATTTTCCACATCAGTCGTCTGCATGAAATTAATCCAGTCTAACCTGTTGCATTCTTGCGGTGCAGTGGATTAGTGCTTTGCCTCCTGAAATGTGTATTTCATTCTCCACTTTTGAAAGCTCTAACTACAATACCAAACTGGCTTTGTGTTCCTCACGTGCAGAGCACATCATTGTGGAAATAGTGCACAGTCCTCACTTTTATCCTGTTTATTGTTATCCATGCCAGTGATGTGGCACTAAAGTCTGACCATTTTGAAGATTTCTTGTCTTCAGAGTCCGGGTTAACACCAATTGACGGTCACAAATTGCTGCAATTATATTGGAGTCTGATCTGCATCTGATCTAAGAGTTACTGGGAGTAAATCCCACCGATTTAAAGAAAAATCTTACTGGTAAAGCTGTGTGGATGTAATCTAGTCTTATCTTTTCAGTAATGGATAGTGTTTGCAAAGTATCTTGTGACATTTAGGGTGGAAGTTACTTTTATGCATAGAAGGGAAAAAAACTCCAGCCCTGGTGTCACTCTAGAACCCCCCAATTCATCATCATTGTCCTCTTCTTGTGATCTGAATGATTAAAAGTAAATATTGTAGCCAGGAAATTGAGCTTGTTTTATAGTCGCATTGCTCCACTTGTTGCCCTTCTACATAAGTGAGGACAACATTTAGAAGTTGTTGCTGTTCACATCTTGATCAAGTGTCAGGGATTTAAACTATAATCTTTCAAAAGGAATGAGGTTAAAATTAGACCCTTTCACTTTTTATGCTTTTAATGAGAAAGTATGATTTTTATTACTGCTGTATGTTGGTGTCGTATGAACAACCCTTTCTTCAAAACGGATTCAAGATGTTTACTTGTCAGTCTCACTGTTTTAAAGGATTTGAACCCTAAATCTGGTTGACATTTAAGTCATGCCTGAAAGGATCTTCTGCCTGATACCTGGAGGCAATGTCTTTCAGTTTTTCTAGTCTGATTTTAATTACTGCACAAGTGTTGCAATGGGACTGGCTGGATTGGTCAAATGCTTCACCAGTTAAAGAAGCCCAGTTTATTGTTGATTCTAATTTGAATGGAAAGAGCCACTTGTACATTGATTTATACAGTAGAACCCTTCAAACCATTTCATCCACTTTCATTATAGTATGTGATGCTTTGTTCATTTTCACATTGCTTTAAATAAAGTGTCTTAACGGAAGTACTTTTAAGTATAAAATACTCAATGCCTTGCATATCCCATGTGTTGGCAGCTCATACTAATGGCAAATAGATCATCTGGTGAAAATTGGTTGCAATTTCTGGGACAGTAATTCACAACCTATTAGGTCAATTGTATTATATTTTGCTTCATAGGTACTTTCTCATTTTACGATGAACTGGAATGCTTTTTTTTATGTTTAGTAATAGTATAAAGTGCCCAAATGACGAATTGAAAGCAATGTATTTTAAATGGTTATAAATTAAAGATTTGTTTCATATAAGCATTATTAATGTGTAATCCTTCAGACATAAAGATGGTCTGTTGTGTAATATCAATTTAACATTGACACTTGTTGCACTGTATTACGTGATGGTCATCTTTGATATAGAGTTATTTGCAGACTGCAAGCATTTTATATTTGCATCCCTCTGAACACTGATTTCCCTGCAACCCTTGAATGCAAATCTTTGTCACATTATACAGTACTTTGCATAACGAGGGAGTGATTTTATACCCAGTAACTGATGACAACTATGGTATATGGTGGGCAATGTTTCATTGCATTTGGCAATAATAATAATCATAATCACATTAAAAGCAGTTTAGTAAGAGTGATTTTCATTAGGCTTCAAAAAAATACTATGTAGGCCATACCGACACTATATACCAAAGTATGTGGAATCAGAGCATGTTCTGAATGTACGTATTGGTTGACATTTAGATGGGAGAAAGACGAAAATATTTGCTGCACAATTCTCGCAAGTTAAGACTCCTGCCCGCCCTGCGAATAAGGATTAAACGTGCACCATCAACAGAACATTCCAGAAATATTTCCAGTCGCTCCTTTAGCTGCCGTGTTAATTCCACTCTGTACAGGAACTCGGGGACGTTACCATAGAGGACGAAGAGCTCAGTTATATGAATGAGTAAAATTAGAGACATATTTTACTAAAATGTGGGAAATAGTTTTAGGTTCGTACATTTGGTCATTTCTCAATATCGCTGGGTTCAGGGTTTCTTCATTAAACACCGGCACGACTGGAATTAAGCAGATGGTGTCCCTGCAAAATTCAGTGATGGGGGTAAGTGTAAAAGGTTCAACTTCCCTTGTGTTGATGAGCTCTCCTTGCACTTACTCTTACTCGTCAAATAATATAATAATCCTCGCATTTGATACAGCGCCTTATCACGTCTTCTGGACGTCTCGAAGCGCTTCACAGAATAGAGTGTAGTGAATTGACTATATTTGTGGGCGAAATGTCATACTCTTTAACGACTGTTTGGCATCTAGTCGCAGGTCTTGTCACTCCCATCATATTATCTGAAGGCACTAACGGGCATATTGCACTGGTTACTAAATTTTGCGAGAACTTTTGCTCAAAATGACTTTGAAATCGGCAGACCAGGTGGAANTTTTTTTAATTGATTTTGCACATTTTGAAGCCGTTGCGATTAGTGATTTTTCCCACCAGATGGTGCTCTATTGAAGCCTTAAAATTATTTTCTGCCTAAAGTTATATTTAAAACTCAGGTGCTTCAGTTTTGTACAGCATAAAAATAGTTTACTTTAAATATAATTAAGTGTTCGACCGTGTTCTTAAACGGTGGGTAGGAAATGACACGTCCTCCTGATGTGAAAGGCACTGTGCAATGTAATTTGATGTTGACACCTTTATTGTACTGTACGGCCAAACTAATACCTGCTGGGCCGATGATCTTGTGACGGTAATTTTTTCATTTGATATAGCGCCTTGTGTCGCTGAGGTGCTCAAAGCACTTTGACTGTACAGTGTTGTCTGCAGGCGCGTGTGGCAGCCAATTCAATTTTATTCCGTTTTTGTGTAATTCTAAGGTGCAAAGTGTTATCCTCCACTTAATATTGAGTGACTTTCAGCCCTACCCTCCAACCCTCTTGATTCCAACCCCCAGCTCAGTTGCCAACCCTCAATGTCCAGTCCCTTGGGATGTCGTTTCGACATGAAATGTGCTATATACATGTTATTTGTTGTGAAAGAAAGATGCAACACAGAAAAACTTGCACAAACTACGCTGAGCAGGAAGTGATTTCCCCAAACATACTTATATATTCCCCAAACATATAAACAAATATGTATAGAAAATACGATTTTCTCGAGTTCTAATCCACATTTTACAAGAGTTTTACCTGAACATACTTATATGTTCCCCAAACATACTTATATGATTGAAATTAGAAAACAGATGTTGGCAAAAACCTGTGTTTTTAAAACAAAATTAAAGACAGTTTTTGTTTATCTGTATAATTTTAAACAATGACACTACATGGCGCTATATCAAATGAAAAACATACAATACTTCAGCAATTCTGGTTCATAGAGAAACTGTTAACTCTGTTTTAGGTTTATAAATACCCCTAAAAATGGATTATTGTATCCTTTTTTTTAAAAAATGATGCTGGTTTGTGATGTTGGCAAGTAACACAATAGTTTGGCTAAAACCTAATAACGATTAGATACTCAATCTGTTTAAGGTCCATGTATCTGGTTTCCTTCTTGCCTAATATCAAAAGGAGCCAAGAGTCTGATTATAGAAATCCCTGACGAAGGCTGGGAAAAATCCAATAAACATCACATTATTGGGAAGACAATCTAGCGTTCAAGTAGAAATTGTTTACACACTGATTTTAATGTGCCGATGGTTCCATTTTGAGCATTTAGAAGAGAAGCTCAGAGATTAAGAGGAGGGAATGTATGAAATATGGTTAAAAGTCAATAGTTTCCCTCTTCATTTTTCTTAAATCTCCTCTCGAGCCTGCTGGATCAAGCTGAGGTACAACCTTAGACATGTTGCAGTCCTCAATATCTCTTCGTGTTCAGTCAAAACTCTTGTAAAATGTGGATTAGAACTCTGGAAAATCAAGATGGATAGTCTGTCACAAATTGTCTTTTATTAGTGCACTGGGGACAACAGCTGCTCAAAGGTGTTACCTGGAGTCTGGGAGCATACACTTGTATATTCCAGAGCTTCGTATCTATCTTGATTGGTATGTAGAGATGCAATCAACTGCTGCTGATGTTTCATACTTTGAACTGGTGGAACTTCAATGGATTTGAGTGCGTGCGGGAGGATGGATAGCAGCAGTGCCCTCGCGCATTTCTTGCTGTGTTGTACCGCTCATCAAATGCTTGCAAAGAGTTCCTGGTCCCAGATACCCCACAAAAGACGCAGACACTGCACTTTACAGTAAATCCCACTTTCGGTTGGGTTTAGATACTCTTAAGCATGGCTGTGGGTTTCTGAGTGTGTCAGACTCCTAGCTGACTAAATGAAAATACTGTACCAGCCTATTCAACGATGGGAGGATCTTAAAAGCCAAGCCTGATCTTGCCATCACAAATATCCACTAACCGAGCCTTGTCCAAAAGTGTTTTAACTTGTCCTGGTGACAGGTTTGTGCTCAAGGATTGAGCATAAATCTTCCTCCTCACTTGTTTCAACTCGATTGAAATTAGAAAACAGATGTTGGCTAAAAACCTGTTTTTTTGTGTGTTAAAAAAAATTAAAAGATAGGTTTTGTTTATCTGTTCAATTTTAAAATGCATTTCTGTTTTTCTTTTCGTCTCCCAAATCACTCTTGGCCAGGAGGCTCGGCAGAGGATCTGCTCTGAAACCCAGCCTGGAGCTGACGACTAAAATATGTGTGTGAGCTTGAGAGAGAGCACTGTAAGTTGACTTGCCTTCAGAATGTTTTCCCTTCTAACTTGTCGGTTAATAAGTACTTGTGCCGTGTCTACTTGGCAGCTCTTCTGATATCACACTAAGGTCATGAACACACCAGGTCGGGAACCACTGATGGTAACCTGTGTGGCACAGCACATTGGAGGGACAGGGTTACACCGACGTGCTGTGCATTCGTGCAAATGCTTTTTAATGAAACATTTCGACATCATTGCAGCTTTACTGTTTAGTATTCCACTGTTTCTGTAACATCGGCTGAACGTCATCGTTCATTACAAGATCAAGAAAGATAGACTTTCTTTATTCCTTATGATGATTAAAACAGATGTTGGACGACTTTCTCTGAGGCTGCCCAGCTACTATAGGATCTTAGTTCGTCTGCGAAACCGTGCCAAATTGGTGCTGCAGATTCATGGAAACAGCTTGGTTGCTATCAAATCCGCAAGTGGTTTGATCAGCAAAGACCAAAGGATTTACTATATCTTCAGTCCAAATCTCTGATGAGAAAGTATTTGCCTTGACATGCAAGAATGAACACCCGTGAAACAGATGTCTGGGAATTTCATCATCTTGGCAAACTGAATCCTCCGCTCTGAAACTGGAAGAACTGGAAACTAAACAGAAATCGAGTTGTTTGTTTGGTGTGAAATGTGTCCTCAGCACATTTGATGTAATTTATTGAAACTGTTAACGGCTTCATGTTTGAAAACATAAAATGTTGAGAGACGGGTTGCACATTCGCGCTGGCGTAATATCAACACCCAGGGCTCTTAATTCAGCTCTTTTATCCAAAGATATTATTACAATTATTTTCAGTGAGCTTTCAGCAGTTATCAGGGAAACCTGCAAAAATTCACAAACTTTTGCACAATCTGAAAATCTTGGGAAAATGTTACCTTCGCCATTTAGTGCGGTGCAAATGTCAAACATTATTACTGAATTTTACTGTTGAAAATATCGCTGAGTTTGTAACCACAGTAATTTAACGCCATTGGAAAAAGCCTATTAGGTGCTGAGCACTTCCATGTATCAGTTATACTGTGGTGAAGTGCATGTTGAAGGACAAATGTATTGCAATCTCTTTTTCCACTATCATCGGTTACGTAGCAGCCAATCTAGTGTATACATATTTTATTCTTTGACTGAAATGGTTATCTGAAAAACAGACAAGAGAAATACAACTAACTATTGTCTGATGGAGATCAGTGGGTAATGAAACATATATTAATATCCACTAATGTTACAAAATTCAATCTGCACAAGATAGGTAAAGTTATATCCCATATTTAAAAGAAAGTCAACTGACCGCTTTAAGCGTTAACTGTTTTTTAGGTTTCACATTATCCTTAGTTAATCTCTTAGCAATAGATTACCACAAAAATTCTCCATAGCAGTCAATATATAATACTGGCCGAGTGGTCACATATACTTTGGATATAATTGAACACTCAAGGTCACTTTTGAATAGCGACAGTAACGCAGCAAAAAAGTTACCTTTCAGCCTTAGCCTTAAGCTTCAAGTTTCCCGAAAATATGTTCATCGGCTTTTGAGATCCAAACTAA